AAAAAAAAAAAAATAGAAACAGAGTCTCACTTAGTTGCTTAACACCTTGCTTTTTGCTGAGGGTCTCACTGAGTTTTTTAACACTTGGCTTTGAACTTGCAATTCTCCTGCCTTAGCCTCCCAAGCCACTGGGATTACAGGCACGTACCACCACACCTGGAAGCACTGTGAATTTTTCAGAGACAGAAACCAGAAGCATTTTTTATGCATATGGCATGGGGGACCTGAATTAAGAATTGGTTGCTGTTTGACATGCATGGCAAAGGATTTAACTGACAGTGCACACAGTAAATTACACAACTCTAGAGGGCAGAACACAGATATCCAGAGAATGCTCCATTTGCGATACCAGGGCTTCCATTTTGATTTCACTTAGCAATTAGTCATTTTGATTATGCTTGCTTAACTTGGAGGGTGCCCTTTCATAAATGGTACAAATTAGCTCAGATTCTTTGTGTATAATCAAGGTTGTGTCTCTAATTAAAAAAATAATCATTAAATAGGGAGTTTGGGAGATTTTGCTCCATCTTAACTCATCCTACCTTTATGTGGCTGGAGAGCTCAGTATAATTGCTTTGTGCCAAAATGTTTTTGTGTCAGCAGAACAAAGAGAGAGAGAGAGAGAGAGAGAGAGGCAAGGCAAAAGTTAGTAGGCAGTGTATGTGACCACACCAATGACACAAGACAGGTATAATAGACACCCAACTCATTTCTCATTTCAGCCTTGCCTTTGCACCCCAGCTACACAGTGAATACAAAACCTGGTTACTCTGGCTGGGTTCTCTCCATCCAAATCAACCTACAAGGCAGCCCATATTCCCTTTGTAAGCGGAGGTCTTTCTAGCACTGCTTCTATACAAATATGAATCAAGCCAAAGCCCCTGCCCGGCCTTATGCCCCCGGGAGGTAAGCAACCTACTTTCAAATCCTTGCAGTTGCTTGTAACACAGGCTGGGGAGATTTTTATTCCAAAAGTAATGTAAGCTTTTTTTACAGCAATGAAAAGCATGGATTTAGCATTCATTTCTATATGCTGAGGTTTTGTAAAAATCAGACAAGTTTCTTTCTTTCCTTAGGAAAGTCCAAGAAACCCATTACATTGTGTGGAATTACATACACCAGCCACAGAGAGCACCCTACTTTCTAAATGAGGCTATAGATTTGTAATTTACTTCTGATTTCCACCTTGAAAATACCTGTCTTGTGTCATTGGTGCAGTCACATACAGTGCCTRCTAACTTTTGTCTTGCCACTCTCTTAAGTGCTTTGATCTTAGGCCTGTCCTTCTTATAACTACTTCCAGCTCCTTCTTTTCCTACTTTACTAACTTTTATGAAATAAGAAGAGAAAAATATAATTTGAAAATTGGAATATCTTCTGTAGAGCACAACACCACCACTACTATATAAAGACAGAAAGTGGTATAAAATGAATGATTGGCAAATAGAGTTGCAGGGATATAGCATCTAACAAGACACGCACTAAAGTTCAAATTCAGTGTACTCTTCAGATACTCTGAAGTATCTAAATTCCCACCTGCCCAATGGCAGCCATGTCATTTTATATGGCTTGCCAGATGGCACATTTCTCTGGGATAATCTGCACAA